GAAGATATATATTTTACGTATAACAGGTAAATAACATAATGTGAAAGAGCTATTACTGAAGGCTAAATAGCTACACTTGCATTTGGATAAGGCTGAATACCTAGCTGTTGACACACTGCGCCATATTCAGTCCATGGTAGTCCTTAAACAGTCAGATAGGCCAAGGGCCCTTCTATGAATTGCATCCTTTCTGAAGCAAATACAGAAGCTTTTGTAAGCAAGGAACTCATCATGAGTATCAGAACTCTCAGACTGCAAAGAATTGTGGAACGGGCTAAATAACTCTATTTATTTACTTATTAAATTTCTATACCACCCTTCCTTCAATGATCACAGTACTCCAGTTCCCATCAGCCCTGCTATTTGGCCATGTTAACTGGGACTGATGGGAGTTGTGGTCTAGCTACATCTGGAGGGTTGGTTACCCCTACACTAAGGTTAAAATCTTCAAAATCTGCAGCTTGGAGGTAGAACCAGGAGTACATTTGATGGCATGCAGAGATGCTTAGAAAGAACACAGAGATGCTTTAAAGAAACCAGGATGCAGAGAAGGAACAAGGTGTTACAAATCAGAGAGACACTAATGGCTTTTAACAATCTATGGCTCCTGTTTGAATTAAAATTGGCTGGGTGGACCGTGTGACCAGAAAAACACATCTCACTGCCTGATAAAAGATTTTCAAGACTATGGAAAGTGTTTACATAATCTTGAAACTCATCATGGGGTTGAAATAAGCCAGATACAGGATATTATTGAAGTTTCCTTCATCTTTATGTGCTTACCTCCAAACAGCGTAATTGGTACTCGACAGCCCAGTTTAGGAATATTCATTATTAGCAGTAGTGTGGGAGATCCCAAAGAGTGAATGTTCCCGTGCTGCTTCAGCAACATTTGAAAAAAGCAGATCAGTCATGTCAGCAGAAATGAAAAGGTTGCTTCTTTGCCAGCCCTTCGGCAAGATGGTGGTCTCATGCGAAGTAACCACAAAGCAGTGCTCCTGCACATTAGATGCTTCCTGAAAATGTTACTGGTTCACACCGAGAGCAGCCATGATGCAGCAGTATTGCTGGTACAGAAAGCTGTCCTTAGTTTGAATGAAACTCATGTGTGTATTGCATAAAAGCTCTAATCTCACCCTTTGCATCATGATGACTAACATCTTGTGCATGAAGGAAACCGTGGATGTTTTCTTGGAATATGGAGCCAAACGCAGGTTTGCCGGCACATTCTCAAAAACACATGAAACCACAACTGTGGAGAAAAAAATAAAATAAAATACATTTATTCAAATGACATAACGCAGAGCATCTGCAAACAACCAAATAAACACAGTTAGCCAAATCAAAACATACTCCAGACAAGGAGGTTCTGTAAGGTGGGAAGGATCGGGTCCTTCCTGACTCCTGTACATATTTACACCTGTGGCCCTGCAGCAAATGAATGGAACAAATTATTTCTCCCTGCTACAAAAAACTTGGGTATGTGAACCCGATAAGTGCACTATGGCACTGCTGCATTGGTGTTCACCCTGGTCCACTTGCTGAAAGGGCATCACAAAGGGACCAATGCCAGGGCACCATAGGGTGACGGAGAGTGCTCTTAATACCTCAGGTATTTCCCACCTCCTCAGATCATAACTTTTCTTTCCTGTCTGGACTGAAAGCCAATAGTGGCAATAAAAAACAGGCCTCCCAACAGTGTGGAGCAGACAAAAACAGAGGAATCCCAAGGCTAATTCGGGGGCTCCACCTTAAAATTCTCACTCAGCCCCCCAAACAGGCAACTAGCAAAGTCCATACTGCTTGGGAAAGGAGGAGGTTGCTGCAAAGAAAGGAGTGCAGTGCTTTAAGTATGAGCCAGTTTATAAAGCTTGGCTTTCCCTCCATCCTGATTGGCCTAATTGTTCACCCAACCACTCCACTCCCCATCTCCCCCCAGGGCAAAACCATTTTGAGTCTTCTTTCTAGGGCAGGTGGGGTGACCACCACCGCCCCCACTCAAGGGTGGGATCAGCATATGCATCTGGCTGGCCATTGTGAAGACAGGATGCTGGACTAGATAAGCCTTTGGTTTGATCCAGCAGGGCTTTTCCTATGTTCTCTGAAAAGTATTGCTATGTATCCTATTAGTGACTCACATACTGGGTTGGGAATATCTTTGAAAATGGAAATGACAAAATGAGTCATGATCTTGAAATAACCCCTCCAGCATGTGCAAGTCTTTTCCAATGTGTTTTCAAAAAGTTAGTATATCAGAAATAGTCACATGCAACCGTGCCCCTAAACACCAGATAATGTGAAAGCAGCAGATCAGTACTAAACATGCTTTGGCTATCACATGTAACAGCTTTCGCATGGATGGTATTTCCAGTGTCTTCCACATTATATTTACAAAAGAATTCCCAGTGCCTAACCTTTGGTCTTCATTGAAGCCAAAGCGCTGGCTCTTTGTTTCTCTTGAATATGCACTTTGAGATAGCTTTTGAAAACATGATGGGGCCACTAGTGTTTCTCTGTATTTACCATTAAAGCTTCACATAAAAGGTTAAAATCATAGTTCCAGTTTCCTTTGTTAGCTTCTGTGCAAACTTCTGCTTAGTTTTCCAACACTTCATAAGATATGCAGAATTTTCATGGACTTTGTCACCGGTTTATGAATATTGCATGCAATTTTGTGTTCACACTGTACCCAATAACTTTTCAGAACAGGACACTAGTACACTAAGTCCATTCTTAAATAATACAGCAGGTTTTAGCTGAACCTGTTAAAATGTTAAGACCATGAATTTGCCATCAATGGGCTGCTAAGGCTCTAAGTGAATGAGTCCTGAATGCACTCAGCATTCCAATATACAATTCTGTATGAGGCAAGGTGATTGGAAAGCCATGGGGGAAATGGTAGCAGTCATCAAGATCATCATGCTTGTAACAGCACCTTCAGCCTTGTGCTGCTGCTACTCTACAATAAGTGGATACGGTATATTGGAGGAAATACACAACTGGTTTCCCTCAGTCAAAATATCAGAGAGGGCTGAATGGTGATGATGATGTTGTTTATGATGATGATACTGAAACCCATCACACATAGACCATCTGATCACTATAGCACAAAACTTGCCCCTGGGCAAACATGACATCCAGTGTGTGAAATGGAAATTCACCTAGGAATAGCCTAGCATTATTTCATATATTATATGGCTCTTCCAATACAAGCATCTTATTGTGAAGAACAACTTAATACGTGTGAGAGAGTTAAAAACACTGCTGCACAAGAACCAATTCACTTTCAGTGAACGCTTCCTAAAATGTTTAAAGCACTAGTTGTTAGTGTTCTTTCACTCCTTACTAATTTATCATGCTATTTCATTTATTTATGTTAAGCAAAATTAACGGAAGAAAAGCACGGGGTTTCTGAAACTATCGCTCAGTGTGTTGCCTCATGCTAATAAATCCATGTTCTGAAAACACTAGATCTATTTACTCTGATCTATACTTCTGAGGCATAAAAGAAAGACCAGCTTTTTAATTGGAAGATGTTTTTCAGTGTTGCCCAAAGGTCAGAACTATCAATTAAGAGGCACATTTGTAAAGAAGAAATCTTGCCAGCATTGCAATATATTCTGAAATGTCTAATTTGTTCACTGTAATAAGGCCATGCCCGTCTATTGATTAATCAATCACTGTTGTCTACTTGATGATTATATCAGAGGAAGTATCTTAATTTAATGGCATATCATATGCAGAACAATACGATATATCACAGATATGTTTATCTCTAGAAATATAATAAATGTTTAACTACTGCCAGTGTGAAATGGAAGGTCTCTTCAGTAGAGCTCAATCTCATTAAACACAGCTGAGTATACAACTGTTCTATATTCACCATCAATCTTGCTGCTTGATTCTCTCCTCCAGTTTCTCCAGCTTTCATGCTTTCACACATCTGCAGCATGCAAGCTTGTAGCTTCTTGGCAACTGAGGCACATGCCTTGCTTTTAGCAGGGACAGCAAATAGCGCCATATAACCTACCACGGTGAGAAGACACCCTGAAGTTTGCAGGGTGTTGGGTCACTGAGGCTGTTCACACTGGTGACAGCAGTAGAGACTTCCTAGCAGACGGTGAAGCTTCTGTCCCCAGAAGTAGAGGACAACATCAACAACAACAACAACAAAACTAATGTTCAACACATGAAGCTTCATTTAACATGTTTCTACCACTACCTGGAGGATATAGTTAATGCATTCTATAGAAGGATTCTGATGTGCAGCTCTATATATTAGCCCCATGTCTCCCGTTTGAAGACAGGGCTGTCCCACTAATCCTGGAGTGGTTATTTGCAATGATGCTGGGAGTATGAAAAAATAAAATGATAATTGCTGTCAGAATGTGTTTGAGACCTTATTGGAAATAAACACTGATTGTTCTGCTCTACCACTGTTATGCATCTGTATTTCTGCAGTTTTTATTGCTATGTGCCTGTTTTGATATTAGTGTGATCTTACATAACCACTGCAGTTATATTTTCATTACAGGGAGATGCCATACTAAATGTCAGCATCTTCATGGCCAGAAATGACATGATCGCTAGATATTTACTATAGAAAAAGAAGAAAGAGAGAAGAATGGACACTCCCCAAATACATACTACGTGGCAGTTATAACTATGAAGACTCCTCCACTGTTTCTGAGGGAGCATATCATTTACTTAGGTAATATAATGCGTAGGCTTCTTTCTCTGATGGTTCCCCAAAACACAATAATAGTATAATAAAATATGCCTCATATACCAGAAGAGCTATAAAATTCTGAGTTTTAAACATTTTATACTACAGCATGAAAAAAATATGATGGTTTTCTGTGATATAGGTACACAGTAGCTGCCAAACTTTTTACACAATAATTACAGCCCTAAACAATTTCTATTATTATTACTACTACTACTATTGCTGCAGCAAAAAGTAGAAGCTATAAGGCAGGAATAGGCAGACTCGGCCCTCCAGATGTTTTGGGACTACAACTCTCATCTTCCCTGACCACTGGTCCTGTTAGCTAGGGATGATGGGAGTTGTAGTCCCAAAGCATCTGGAGGGCCGAGTTTGCCTATGCCTGCTATAAGGCATTACATCAGTGCAGAATTCAGGTATACGTAGCACCACCACTGAAATACACACAAAAGCACAAAAACTGTTTGTAGCTGCAGATGTGATTTTTAAATAAAATGTATCTTTAGATTCACAGTAAATCTGGCAAGTTTTGCATATGTGGATCCCCATTCCTGAATTTAAAAGCACGAGCTAACTGGAGATTCTACATGCAAGAAACAGATTTCACAATGTATGTCACAGATTTGGAATGAAACAGAAACCTGTGCAAAAGCACAGCAAAAAGCAGTTTTCAAGTAGCAAAGGTAAAGTAGGAAACAGCAAAAAGCATCCCAGTGGATGTGTATTTTCAGCAGGAGAAAAGGGATTCCAGAAGGTGGGTGCTAGGATGCAGCTCTTTGATCTACATCCAGAATGAATAGGGGGGACATTTTTATTTTGGTTAACTATGTCACAACTCTATTAATATTAACAAACCAGATACAAAAATGTTAGCTGTGCAAGAGCTGGGTATGGCAGAAACTGTCTTGCAACCTCTTCCTCAGTTGCCTCACCAAGGGTCCTCAATAGCTCCTAAGAACTACTAGTGATGAGCTGAAAGTACATAGTGCATTTAAGTAACATTTTCAGCCCCATCATACCCTTCTGGCAATCATTTTTTCAGCAGTGCCTGGAGGGGAAAAGGCCTGTTCACTAACATTGCCATCATTTTCTGCCACTCTCAAAATGGTCTCATTTGCTAGTAGCGAAATAGTCACATAGCCAAATCTAGTTTGCTCTGTAGCATTATGATGTCAGTTGTTTACTATATGGCCCTCAATTGGCTATGACTGGTCCAGCAAACATTGCCATTGCAACTCTGATTGGCTCTTAGCGTTACAAGCTGGTGTTCACTATGTTAATTCCTGATTGGCTAGGATCACCTGTATGACAGAAAGAAGTGGTAACTAGATGGGTGGTAAATTTTGTCATAGCAGCTCCAGACAGATTAAATAATGGAAATAATACAAAGTTTAAAAAAGGGTTAACATTTTCCCAGTAAAGGATTTTTAGGAGGAAATATTTATCTTCCTGAAAGTGAGTGCATTATATTCAGCATGAATATTAAAGCAGGACAACATATTTAAATAAAATACCTGGGCTGTAGTGCTATGCATGCTTTCTTGGGAGTATGTCCTGATTAACTCAATGGATCATATTTTTTAGTAAATATAAGCTACAGGTACCAATTCCAGCATGCCCTTTGCACAGGGCAACATTTCCCTGTGGCAAGTTCATGGTGGTGGGGAGATCGGTTTTTATTTTACCCCTCAATGCTCTAATGAGATCCTGTAGGATTGGGATCATCTTGACACTAGGCAGGATCAGCATAGTCAGGGATAGAGACATAAGGGGCCTGGGGGACACTCATGATTGGCCCGAGGCATGCCCTGAGCTTTGGCTGCTATATCTACCCGGCTGGAATCTGTCTTGAGCTATTCCTATACTCAAGTAGGACCCTGGCAGAGACACATGCCTGACTAGCATGTTCCCTCCCTCCTGGTCAATCGTTCGGGAGCTTCTGTAGCTTTCTTCTGCCGAACATCACAGCAACCGATGCCAACAGACATCGGCACACTTAGGGATCCGCAGAGTCTGCACAGTTTGTGTGACAGACCTCAGCAACTCAGCATTTTGGCTAATCTACTTTATTTACATATCACCACACATGGAGCACTGCAACATGGCTCCCTGTCTCTCTAGCATCAGACAGCAAAGAGAGAGAACAAAGGACAATACTCCCACTTCACAGAACACAGTAACACAAACATCCTGTCACTGTCACTTCCCACTCTGTGGAGTCAAAACATATACCGTCATGTGATAGACAAAAATCCCATGACTGCAATCATGGAGCCAGGAATTCTAACAGAATCTTCCCCCTGCAAGTTGCCTCGATTTTTGGCTTGCACTGTGCCAGGGTTCAACCCTGGCCAACTCCCATGATGGGGGTTGGGTGCTTCCCACCCTCAAGAGGAATGCTGTTCCATCAGTAAGGGGCCGAGTGGAATATGGAATTGATCCTCACCCTACTGCCAAGCCAGCTCTGTTTATTTGCTTTTTAGTTAGTAAAGTTGTGGCCTGATTTCACACAACACTTGTGTTGCACCTGAGTTATTCCCACTGCACTCACGAGCCACAAATATGTGCCTGCATCTTGTCTAGCCCCATGAGACTTTGGTGACGAGGCAGTACAGAAATGTTTAAGTAAGCAAGCCTTCTTACTTTTTATTATATATAACTCCTCAGGGTTCACACAACAGAGGGTCATGAAAGAGACATAGCAATTCAATGGACTTTGTTTTGTAGATAACTAGTTAAATGATGCTAGATAATATCACTATAGTGCCTGCTGAAAACATTACTTTTGTGTTTCCACGAAGAGCAAGTGCTCAAACATTCTGAAAAAAACCATAATGCTGCATTGACAGTTATTTTTTCTTAGCGAGGTCAGGGCAATTCTCCACTTCTCTTTCCCCACCATACGCTGAGGAATGCTTCATGTATAAAATTAATAGTTCTACCCAGTGGAGATTCTGTATTTCATTAACATCCCCACATGTTGAAAAATGAACACTAATGCATATGTTCATTAATTAAGTCTTATTGGTGGTGGAAAAATGTTTTTGTAACCACTAAACATTTATTTCAATGACTCTGCTCCCAAATCACAATTTCATTGACATAAAAGCTACTGTTTTCCTAATGAGTTAGCTGGTAAGGAACCCCTGGGAAATCAGTTATTGACTCCTATAGCTGATCTGCAAAACAGCCTTCTATCCTATGTTGTATTACACTGGCATTTTATGTTACACTTTATGTTCAGGAGCTATATTCAATTCAAGTGTTTGCTGTTAGAAGCCGAGCTACTCCATTCATGGAACCACCAAAGATGGCTGAAAACATTCTGATGGTTAAGGCAGAAGGTCCAAATTGTACCATCCTTCATAGTGAAAATATAACAATAAGCTGTAATTGACAATCTACCCACCTTTAATGTATGGGAAAAATCTGTTGAAAATTATGCATGCCCTTCCTACTTGTTGGTAGGGCTGGGCATGAGTGATGCAACTATTATATGTCCTGAGTGAGTAACAAAGATTTTGTGGAAGATCAGGGCACACAGAAATGTCTTACTGTCACCCAGCTAAACACTTCTCTTCCTTGCCAAGCAGTGGGTGTCTTTTGTAGCATTCTAAATATCTGTGGCATATATATATATATATATAATTGTTCTGTGGGTGTCTATTAATAAGGCTAAGAATGTGAACATTTTCATAACAGCTAGAAAATATAATATGCTGTTATGAAATAAAAAGCAGCAATGCATTGTGTAAAAGAAATAATGTATGTCGCTAGAAGATCACAAGGAAAATTTGAAGGAGTTGCATAGTCAATGAGAGGAGTATTCTTCACCCTCTAAAGAACTCTACAGCAAAAATGGTGCTTGCCAGTGATGTCAGCTGATGGAGAGGAAGACAAAGTTAAATTCTGTATTGGCTGTACACTTGCTTCTGATCGGCAAGTCCTAGGCTCTGTGGTTTGACCCACAGCACCACCCACGTCCCTCCTTCACTTGACTTAGTGAGGAGCAATTCCACAGCCAGAGAATGGTCATGGCCTTTCTGAATTGTTCTTTGGAAAGACTATGTCTCTCAATCTTTCAGCATCCCTTGCATCCTATACTTATTTGAGCATTACTCCTTCTCCATTTCCAAAACTTTACTTTGCATTGTGTCATGACCTACTTATCCTGATTGTGTTTAAGTTTGATGAGCATTCATTGATCAGCAAGAGCTCATTGGACCTTTATAACAACATGAAAATATCCCCCGATATTCTTTTCCCAATATTTATTGGCTATCTAAAATCAATGGGTGTCACGACTGGGTATGAGTCAACACAAAGGAGGCTTTTGAACATGTTCAGGAATGTTGGGGACTTAAAATATAAGCCATCTGAAAGTCCTAGCTTTTCTTGTCACCGATTTCAGTCTTTCTCCTTTCACTTGCGATGTAATTTTGGGCAATGGGGAAAGGAGGAAAACCAGATGCAGGAAATACCTAGGGCAGCTGGTGCCAAGGTGACCTAATTAAAAGCCACACTTAACTTTGTCTTGGGATTTGGCTGACTGCAAATTGGAACTAGAAAAAGGCTTCACTTACTAGGTACCATGCCAATTCTAAAATTGAGAGTTATTTCCTAGTCTGGCTTGTGTGAATGGAAAATGCTACCAACTATCTATGGTAAGGAATTATTAAAATGGAAGGCAAAAAATATGTCAATTTTCCTTCCTTCCTTTCTTTTTTTTAAAAAGTGGAATAGTATGAGGAGCCAGAAGGTGTCATTTCTGGTCATATGCTGCACCTATAATCAAAAATTAAAAGGTACCGGTAAATGCAGCACAACATGTTTACTGGGCCTGTGTGTATTTCTAATAACATATACACATGATTATACTGGCAATGCCTTATAAAATTCCAATTTCCAACTGAAATCCTCTGGGAGAAAGAGAGAAAATGTATCTGTGTTTTTGCCTAGAAAACATAACAGATGCTGTCAACATTAAAAAGGAACACAGACATACATTAAATCCCTTATGTCTTTTTAATGATGCAATTGTGAATTATATTCTTGTTGCATTTGTAATTAGATGGCAAAGCAGATGGTTAAGACTTGTTTTAAAGTAATGTGTAGAGGTTCCCAGCCACTGAAATACTTAGAAACCACATTAATGCCTAATTGATTATTACAGATCAGGACATATTATCACATTTATTTTAAGAATGTGGGTGTGTGGGTGTGTGGACGAATGCAAATTTGTCATGTGCCATATATATTCTTAAATGTCACCTTATGGTCATTAAGACTAATGATGTTTTTCTTCTATCAATACTTCTACTCACGCATTTCAGCGTTGTCAGTATCATCCAAATGTGCAGAAATTAAAGTTGCATCAGATAGTTCATCCAATCAGATGCCTGGCTTTTCCTGGGATTAAGCTGAATGGAAAGATGTGCAGCACAGTTCTCAGAAGTAAGCTCCATTGTGTTCAGTACGGATTAAAGGTAAAGGTAAAGGGACCCCTGACCATTAGGTCCAGTCGTGGCCGACTCTGGGGTTGCAGCGCTCATCTCGCTTTATTGGCCGAGGGAGCCGGTGTACAGCTTCCGGGTCATGTGGCCAGCATAACTAAGCCACTTCTGGCAAACCAGAGCAGCACACGGAAACACCATTTATCTTCCCACAGGAGCGATACCTATTTATCTACTTGCACATTGATGTGCTTTCGAACTGCTAGGTTGGCAGGAGCAGGGACTGAGCAACGGGAGCTCACCCCGTCGTGGGGATTTGAACTGCCAACCTTCTGATCAGCAAGCCCTAGGCTCTGTGGTTTAAACCACAGCGCCACCCATGTCCATTCAGTATGGATTACTCCCAGGTAAATGCATTGGGTTAGAGTCTGAAGTATGACTTTTATTATCCCACACACTTCCCCCCCCCCAAAAAAGAAGCGTATTGAGTGCATATGCTGCACATACATTTCCTCCCTCGTGTAATGATGAAGACTATGGTATGCTTAGATCATATGATTGCTAGAGGCAGCAATGTGACCAATGCTATCCTAAGTGTATCTACCGTATTGCCCCAAATATAAACCACACTTCCCCCCCAAAAAAATTCCGACCGTTAAAAGTTAAAGTGCAGCTTATATTCATGACCTTACACCGCCGGCAAAGCGGTGTGCCCCCCCCCGCAAGAGAGCAGCCTGGGAGTGTGGGGCAATGGTGCGCAGCCAGCCCGCCACTCCCAAGCCTCCCCCGAGCTGCCAAAAAGAAGGGGGGAAGGCCCCTGGCAAAGCGGCATGGCTCCCCCCCAGGAAGCAGCCTGGGAGTTCAGGGGAATAGTACCCCTAGGATTTTCTTCTACATTTGCCATTTACGGGTGTGAGTGCCTCCGGAGTTTGAAGGGAGCAGCTTATATCCGGGTATTGTCTCCCCTCCCCCTTGAATTTTAAAGTTGTGGCTTATTTGCGGGTGTGGCTTATATTCAGGCCAATACAGTACTTAGTATTAATCCCATTGTGCTCACATGCACTCCCATTCTAGTCTTAATTGGTTAGATTAGTTGATTAAAAATGTTTAATCAACTCAATTAATATCTCAGCAAAAAAAAATTTTATATTAAAAATAACCAGTACTCATAAAACTTGTGAATGGCAAGCTACATCTTAAGAGGCATTCATCTCTCTTCTCTCACACATAGAATACAATGCATTTTCTAAGGTTATCCTTGCTGCAACATTTATATTTCAAATAAAAAGTGAAAGTCTTCTTCCTTCAGAAATGTTGTTCTTGTTGTTTTTCCTTATGGAAGTCACTGAAAATTAACTGATAGTCATCATCTAAAACTATTTTAATGAGCTGGTCAAAGTGTATTTAATAGGGTTATAACCCTAATTATTGTTATTTACTTACCACAATGGTTTAGAATGAGTTTTAAATGAGCTAAGGAAGTGGTGAGAGGAGGAGTTAACACTGGGCTAGATCCTGTAGCCATTATTTAAATCATAGAATCATAGAGTTGGAAGGGATCCTGAGAATCATCTTCTTCAACCCTCAGCAATTCAGGAATATGCATCTGTCACTTATGGGGATCAAACCTGCAACCTTGGTGTTGTTATCAGCACCACTCTCTAACAAACTGAGCTAAAGCAACTGGCCCAACTGAAAGTTGAAACTATTTTTGGGAGGGTGGGGGGACATTCTCAAGCAAATGTTTCTGAATGAGTTCCAAAATTCAGGGCTAGTCTACTAATATGAATATTTTGAAACCCTTCCCAATTATGTTGTATTGAGCAAGGAACAAAGAAGGGGTAAGTTGCATTCCACAAAACTGGAGGTTTATAATCCTCAGAAGTTTCAACTGAGAATAATTTCTTGTAATCTTGAGGTTAGCCCAGAAATGCTTGTTAAATCACCTAAGGAAAATATATGGGCCATACCTAATGAAGCCTAAGAGATATAAAGAATGCAGTAGAATGGCATTCCAATCAGTGATCATAGGTTTTTGTACAGATTTGTCAATGTATTTTTTTCTTGGTATTTTTGTTCTGCTGGCAGTTGGTATTGATGAGGGTTCACACTTGCCCCCCTCTATGCGTACAATGAATAATAATAATAATTATAATTATATATTTATACCCCACCCATCTGGCTTAGTTTCCCCGCTACTCTGGGGAGCTCCCAACAGAATATTAAAAACACAATAATGTATGGAGGGGAAGCAGGAACACATTCCTTGGCTCCAGGCTCACTCAGCAGAAGTGTGAAACGTGCTTTTGACCTATGGGCTCCTTCATAAATCAACAGCCTTGAAGAACTGAGGATTGTGTAGAGGAAGGTATTACATGCACTTTGTCTATGCATACATATGCTGAACTGAGGGCAGGGACCAAGGTCATCCGAGGTAAACATGCTTCCCTCTGTACACTCAGTTTATGTGAAATGGGATACTCATTCTGTATATGCATGTGTGGTGGTTTGGGTCTTGCATTGTGCTGCTAGGACTCTGTAAAATATGCAAAGGGTTCTTAATTTTACTTATATTTTGCTGTCTTCATCTTATGTGTACATGTACAGGGGCAGCCACTGAACTGGAATTCAGGGATTAGGTACAGTGATACAAGGATACTGAGAGGTGTCATAGAAACAGGATGAAACCACAGAGAAGCAAAGTGAAGAGTTTGAGTTTTTGGACTGAGGTGTTGACCTATGTGGCAGTGACAGGCATCTGAATGAGCCATTTTTGCTCATTGTGAAGAATGTCATGTACTCAGGACTTCCTGATTACCATCAGTTTTCTCTTCTTGCTGCAGGGGGCCAGAACCAGGACTGGAACAAGCAGCAGGAATTCAATTCATGCTGGTGAACTTTAGGACACAGTGATAGACAAATGACTAAATATACCGCTTGAGAAATTCAACATTTCTTCTTTTAATGAGGCAAGATGACATAGACTCTGCTTGTTTTCTTCAAATCCTGACCTGCCTCAATCTTTGTAATGTCAAAGGGATCAAAGGCATGAGGAAACTGCATGAATAAAATATAATAGCTAATTGTCCTTAGCTGATAGTCTATTCCAGTTATTCAGTACCTTTTTTGACCAACATAGGATTATGTGAATTTGTCTTGGCTTTTGGGTTAGGCTGTCCATGCTCAGATGAGGCCATGGGCTCTGAGGAAGGAGGCATTGTGGTGTGGGAGATAATTAATCTCAGCACCAACTCTAGATAACCCTACTTCCTCAGAAGTATTAGCACATTAGGAGTCCATCTTGTCACCTTCTCGCTGGCCTCAAAAAGTCATGTAACTATCATCCTCAGAATACAAATACTTTATCCAGGGGACTACAGGAGGTCTACAGAGATTTCATGATATTCTTAACTGGAGGTGTTCAAGAGAATCTTGGACAATCATCAGCAGGTGGGGGATTTATAGAATTGCCTCCTTCAGTCAGAGAAGCGGAAAGCATGGTGCATTGATTCCCATTCTAACTTGACGAGTGCATATTTCTGAGGCTGCAAACCCATGCCAACTTTCTTAGGAATAAGGCCAATTGAATTGATTAGGATTAACTTCTGAGTGAACATAAGAACAGCTTGCCGGATCAGGGCAATGGTCATCAAGTGCAGGGATCAGGGCAATGGTCATCCCATTCTCCCAGTGGCCAAGAGATACCTATAGGAAACCTGGAAGCAGAGTCTGTTTAGGACTAGGCTGTATATCCACTCCAATTTATGGTTACCAGATTCTTTTCAATGAATCCAGGGACACTTTTTTTTTTTTTGAAGCTGAGTAGCAACAGGGCCCAAGCACACATGCATATTGTATAAAGGTGCAAAGCCCTTCTTTTGCACCCTGTGAAACATAAATGTGCAGAGTTTTTGAAGAACTGGGCAATGGCGCGCCACCCGCCCGCGACTCCCGAGTCTCCCCTGATCTGTCAAAACAGGGGGAAGGGGGCGGGAGATCGGGGAAGGCTCGGGAGTCATGGGCGGGCGGTGTGCCATTGCCCAGGAGGGGCGCAAGGAGGGCAGTTTCTCTGCCAGGCCAGGTGCAAAGCCCTTCTTTCGCACTATGTGAAACATAAATGCACAGAGTTTTTTAAAAACTGGGCAACTGCGTGTCACCCGCCCGTGACTCTCGAGCCTCCCCCGATATCTTGACCGCTTCCCCCTTTGTTTTGACTGAAGGGCTTTGCACCTTGCTTGACAGAGAAACCGCTCGCCTTGCGCCCCTCCTGGGCAACGGCCGCCTACCCGCAACTCCTGAGCCTCCCCCGATCTGTCAAAACAAAGGAGGAAGGGGGCAGGAGATCTGTACCACCGGACGTCCCCGGTTCCCCTTCAACAGTGGTGGTGGCGGCAGCGAGCAGCTCCTGAAGCCAGCCAGAGCCAACTACACTACCAGGCTGGCTCCGGGCTGCTGAGGCTGCCGCTGCCACGTTTCCCAGGGACAGATTTGCAAATCTAGGGACATTCTGGGGACGGAATTTGTCCGGGGACAGATTTGCAAATCTGGGGACTGTCCCCGGGAACCGGGGACGTCTGGTAACCCTACTTAAAATTGTATGCATATGGATAGAGAATGTCTCCCACAACCAACTGTGGGTTAAACTGCTGCAGTTTTATTTTCTTGGTAGTGTATGGGATGTGATTGCAGATTTGGTAAGAGGGTGGTTGCTGCTGTATTAGAATGTTGCTACATTAGAGCTGCTCTCCAGAGCTACAGTCTCCCCAAGAAGCAGCTTGTGTAACAATTAAAAACTCAAATGAAGTGGAGTGGCAAAAAGAATTAATCATCCTAAACGCATTAAGAACTACTTCACACTGTGTTCGGCATACTCTCATGTTAAATATGCTTACGGTGTGAACACCTTAATGTTTTACTATCCAGTATCCCATGGTTTTTACATGAATGACTCGCTGCATTCCCTTCCAATCAAGTTGAAAAAGCACCAGTCAGTCCCAAAGGAAAAGCTGGAGGAAGGAAACACAAAACAAAATAAGCATCAGGCTGAACTTAACCCTTTGAACTCAGAGATATTGATATAGATATCACCTAAAGCCATTACATGTAAGGTTGATAATAATAATAATAATAATAATAATAATAATAATAATAAAAACATCACACACCACAGTGTTAACACATCATTCTAGGGTAACTGTACTATTTTGCAAATATCGTTTCCTACACAGGTAGCACTACACTGAGATAAAAGGTTGCAAACTGTGTGGTGTGATTTATGTGCTACATATATACAGTATGTACTTGGAAGATGGCAAGCTTAAAGTATGCATGTTATGTGTGCATGCAGAGAAATAGAGAAATGTGCCATTAGGATGCAGTTCAGGCCACTGATAAAACAAAACTAGAATCTAATGGCCATTATATAGCTGACATGTTTCACTTATTCCCTGGTGCAGATGGGTATAAATTGCTAGATGTTATATTCTACAGCATATTTATATGGGTGTGCCCATGCCAGTATATTTTTGGAGCAGTGGTGGCTGGGGTGGAAAGCAAAGAACCCAGGAGTAGGCTGAGCCAGAGCCAATGACAATCAACTCATTCTAGTTTTGCCCCCATCCTCCTCGCTGCTGAGTTCTCCAAGGGAAACATTGAGATGAAGAAGAAAGATGGCAGACATTGCCACTCTCCTGAACTGGAAAGAAGTCAGGCAGGTGGGAGCTGGGTGAGGTCAGTCTGAGGTTGGTGAGGCAGTGCCTCCTTTGTCCTAATGGACCAGCCTCCACTGGTCTGAAGTGTAAAATGCAGTCAACAGGCCTTCTGTTTCTTCAGTACTCCAGAACCATAGCTAGGCACACATTCTGTTGTAAAATATTACGCAGAGGCTCTCTGGAACATGACATTTGGAACTGCCCAATGACTTGTTCAGACAGAATATCAGCATTTCTGTAATTGTAGAACAATTCTGAAGGATGAATGTGGAGGACTACGTACATGATTCTGTGCAGATGTTTAAAGACTAGACTTTCTGCCATATCAGTTTGCTATTTCTACCAGGTCTTCAAAACAAAAATAGATATTGTAAAAGAAAATTTCAATCTGAGAGCATTCTCAGAACAGTTTGGCTGAACAGCCCTCTTCAGAGCTTCAAACTGTGTGAAGAGTCACTGCACAAAGAGGATCATAACTTGCTTTGCCTTTTAGGATCCCACTTGGTCTCTCTCTCTCTCTCTCTCTCCCCCGTGTGTGTGTGTGTGTGTGCGCACACACAAATAAAGTCAGTCAACTCATGGAAGTTAGTGGAGGGGACAGTGGGCGTGATCCTATCACCAATCCAAGTGTTGATTCTACAGCAAATCTGTAGGTCTAAAAGGATTCATGCATTTATGTTATGTGTTGGAAACAACTTGCAAATATTTACATGATGTGATGCAGACAATCATAGATAGGGCAAGTGAGCCTCAAATTCATGATGGCTAGGAAAGAAAAACTTTAGGAATAGTAGATATTGTTTGTATTCATTTGATGGCCCAAATCACATGTAACATAAGTGTATGGACAGAGACTAGGACTGGTTGTTTAAGTATGATTTTTTTTCTAGGAATTATCCTTAACATATGGATAGAAAGGTGTTCAGTTTCCATATAGTTCCATGGGTGGTAGATAATTGATGGTGATGATAAA